AAGCAAAGAACACTGCTTTTTATTTTTAAATTTTCTACGCTATTTGATTAGTTTCTAATCTATCAACAAACATTACAAAGATTTGCTTTTCCAATTTTTCTATGGGAAACATTATTTCATATGTAAAATATTTTATTTAGATGTTTTTTATACAACATATACAAAATAGGAAAACCAAAGGAAATCCACACCTAGACACATCGTAGTGAAACTGCAGAACATCAAAGACAAAGAGAAGATCTTGAAAGCAGCCAGAGAAAGGACAGATCACCTACAAAGGAACGACAGACAATTAGAATGACAGAAGTCCACTCAACAATAATGGAAGCCAGAAGACAACGGAATAATACATACAAGGTGTTGAGAATAACTGTTGTTATCCAGCAAAATTACTGCACAAGAACAAGGAAAGAAAAATCACAAAGATAAACAGACTCTTGGCAAATTTAGAGCAATAGACCCATTCTTAAAGAAACTGCCAAAGAATACACTTCAAAAATACTTCAAAACACTGGAAGATGATATCCCCTAATAACATTCAAGATTTGAGAACAAAAACTGATAAACATGTAGGTAAACATTGCCTGGGTAAAATAATAATGGTGCCCAACTTATGCATTTAAAAAATGACTAAAATGAAACACTGGAAACATAAGCCAGAAGGGTAAAGACTGGAACTACAGTTCATTTACTTTGGAAATGGGATCAGAACATTAACTTATGGAATATGCAATTAAATTTGCATGGTAAAATTTCAGTGCTAGCCACTGAATGAACAGAAATGGAGTGTTTAAACTAGCAAAAAAAAAAAAAATGCAGAGCTGGGGCAATCAACAATAGTAACTAATGAATCTTAAAGGCAAACAGGGAGAAAAAAATGAAAGGCCAATACGAATCAAACAAGAAGGGTGCCTGGGTGGCTCAGTCAGTTAGGCATCTGCCTTTGGCTCAGGTCATGATCCCAGGGTCCTGGGATCGAGCCCGCGTCAGGCTCCCTGCTCAGCAGGGAGACTGCTTCTCCTGCTCCCTCTGCCTGCCACTCCCCCTGCTTGTGCTTCCTCTTTCTCTGTCAGATATATAAAATCTTTGGCAAAAAAAAAAAAAAAAGAAAGAAAGAAAAGATGACAGAGCTATGAATGGCTTAAACTTTCCATTAACAGGCAAACTCAGATTGGGTTAAAAAAACAACAATCTAGGGGCGCCCTGGTGGTTCAGTCAGTTAAGGGTCTGACTTGGTTTTGGCTCAGGTCATGATCTCAGGGTCCTGAGATCAAGCCCCACATCGGGTTTCACACTCAGCACAAAGTCTGCTTGTCCCTCTCCCTCTGCTACCCGCCCCCCACTCTCTCTCTCTGGAATAAAATCTTTACAAAACAAACAAAACAACAATCTAGCTTTATAATATTTAAGAGATATATTTGCCTAAAGCATTAAAGAGAAGGTCAGAGAAGACTGACAACAAAGGCATGGAAAACAAATATGATAGAAGTATAGAGAAATTAAGATAAATTTGTCATCGTAATGGACAATCTCAAGACCTTCTCTCATTAAGTCAAGCAAACCAAACACTCAGTAAGGTGAAGATTTGAACAACGTAACCACAGAGCTTTATCTACTCAATGCAAAATTCTCAATCCAACAATTTCCTTTCAAAATGCACATGGAAGATGTGCAAAATTAATGTCTTAAGTCTTAACAATTTTCAAAAAATATGTATTACACAAATCACACTGACACAATGCAATCAAGTCAAGAGTACATAATAAAAGACTAAAAGACAAATCCTCTGTATACTATAAATTACAAACATTTTCAAATAACTCAGGGGTCAAAGATGAAGATCGTAATAGGAATTAAAGATACTTAGATTGATAATGAAAACATTATATATCAAAATTTGTGATACACAACAGAAATGGCACCTCAAGAGAAATTTACAGCTTAAATGTTTACATTTGAAAAGACAAGCGGAGATAAATTAATAATTAAAAATATAGGTGGATATATTAAAAATAAGAGCAGAAACCAAAGAAATAGAAAACCAAGACATCAAAGGAGAATCGATAAAGCCAGAATTATTGTTGTTAAGTCTTTGAACACATTAACAAAATAAACTTCCGGTGACAGACTAATCCAAGACAAAAAGAGAAATAACATGAATACTGTGAGGTGGTTAGGCTAGTAAAAATACAGAGACCAGAGAGATGAAAAAACACTAACTCATGCCAATATATGTATGCATATTTAGATTTTAGTCACAAAGTTGTAAAACAGTGAGTAAGCACAGTAATTAATCGCTGTTTGCAGAATGTCACTTTGCACTTGCGAATAAACCAATTCAGAAAGAGTAGTAAGTCCTCATCAGATGTACTTGATTCCATTTCAAATTTTTGACCTCTTACTTTAAAACAAAACACAGAGAGAACCACACAAAACAAACAGTAGCTTAATGAATTTTATGAGGCAAAACATCCTTACAGTCAACATTCAGGTCCAAAAAATAAAACTGTGCCAACCACCCCAGAAACCTTTCCGTATTTGCTCCATCTCAATCAGTCCTCTCCTAAAGTAACCATTTATGCCTTATAGTAACCTAAAATTTCTTTGTGGCACACAAGTGTGTATTTCTAGACACTACAGTTTAACCTTGCACCTTGCTGTCTTTTAATCTAGAATTCTCAGGCTGTTTGACCTATATGGAGTCCCAGAGACTGTTCTTTGCCTGTTGCACATTCATGATGTGACAACCAACATATTCCTCAGGCCTCTGTACTTCCTGCAAGTTGACGGCTGGATCAGAGCCCTGATAACCCAGGTTCAAATCCTCTGGCAAGACTAAGGTAGTTTTGTTTTTTTGGTGCAAAAATGGTGACTTTATTAAACCATGGGGACAGGACCTATGGGCAGAAAGAGCTGCTGCCAAGACTAAGGTAGTTTTATTCTTTCATCTGGAGGCATGAAATGACTGTTTCGCTTTTTTTAGTAGCCATTAATCATCAGTGCCTAGATTAATTCACTGAGTTGAGGGGGGAAAAAAACCCAACAAGCTATAATCCTATCATTCTGTTTTTACTTATGAGCTGGAAGAATCTTTAAAAATGCTTTTTCTAGGGGTGCCTGGCTGGCTCAGTCTCAAGAATGCAACTCTTGATCTCAGGGTCATGAGTTCAAGCTCCACGTTGGGCATAGAGTTTCCTTAAAAAAAAAAGGGGGGGGGCACCTGGGTGGCTCAGTCGTTAAGTGTCTGCCTTCGGCTCAGATCATGATCCCAGGGTCCTGGGATTGAGCCCCGGAGCCTGCTTCTCCCTCTCCCACCCCTCTGCTTGTGTTCCTTCTCTCGCTGTGTCTCCTTGTCAAATAAATAAATAAAATCTTAAAAAAAAAAAAAAAAAAGCGCTTTCCTCATCAGCTATATTCAACTCTGGATATAGTACAAAAACAGCAAGAGACAATATATACATGAATGAGTACAATAAAACTACATTTACAAAAGCAGATGTTAACTCCTATACTATTTGGTTACACAGGGATACCATTCTTTAACGGAAAGACAGCATAAATGCTCAATAATTTTATTTATCCAGTTTTCAAGACAATGAATTAGTATCTATTATACCTCTAGAAGGTGACCAATTAAAGATTCACTTTTAAAAAATACGAAATCATGGGGGTGCCTGGGTGGCTCAGTCGGTTAAGCATGTGCCTTCGGCTCAAGTCATGATCCCAGGTCCTGGGATCGAGTCCCACATCGGACTCCCTGCTCAGCGGGAGTCTGCTTCTCCCTCTACCCCTCCCTGCTGCTCATGCTCTAATAAATAAAATCTTTAAAAAAATATATGAAATCTTGGATTTAAACCTGTTTGTTGGGCTTCAATACACTGCAATTCTCACCCTCACTGAAGCTCAAATGCTTTCCAGTTGCTCTTTACAAACTGGCCCACTTATGCTTTCTAGTTAGTACCTACTGGCTGTTTCAGAATTTTCCTGTTCTCAGGTCCATCATTTATTGGATTTGCACATAATGCTGACATGGCAAAATGCACAATACAAGGATTTTTTTTTTAGAGAGAGAATGAAGAGACAAATACAGAATGGAATCATTAAGGCCTCATGAAACAAATAAATTTGAAATGAACCTGAAACAGTTTCAAGAACAGGAGGAATAAAAAAATGCATGCCAGCATTAGAAAAGTATAAGTCAGAAATAACATGATGAGCATTCAGTTTTGGTGTGGTTTTCTAATTTAGCTCTCAATAGAAAAGAAAAAGATGGAAACTAGGACCTTTCTTGATAGGAAGAGGTCGGAGAGCAGTGGAAAATGACTGGGCAGGCCCAGAGACCAGACAGCCAAACTGCCTAAAGGCCAAGCTGATGGCATCAATCCCAGACAATGCATGAGGTGGAAACATTGTAACGCTCTCAAGAAGTCACATGATCAGAGCACACTTTAGACAGGCAAAGTGTACTGGAGATGGAGTTAGTGGGGGTTGAGAGAAAGGAAGCAGAAAGATCAGCTCGAGGCTAACTGCAGTTTGCCAGCAACAAAAGAATAAAGTAGGGCCACTGGGACAACTGGCCAGGTCAAAGAAAGGATGCTAAGAAGGGAGATTTAAAGATGCAATTTCCAGTTCAAGAGAACAGGAGTAGGATTAACAAAAAGAAGAAAAAATGCAATTATCTATGTATCTCTAAGTAGAAACTCTCTTAGGACCAGCAAAATACTGGTAATTATTAAGGCCAGGTAACTGGGTTCATGGGAATTCACTGCACTATTCTTCCCACTTGTAAGAACATTAAAAATTTCTATAATAAAAAGACTTTTCAGGATTCTGAAATGTGTAGGCTTAGACTTTCCTCATGGTGCCTTCTCATCCTATTTTTGGGCCTAATGACCAGTTTTCTCACAGAACTAACATTTCATAAATACCCACTGGGAAATGTTTAAAGCCTCATGAAAAAGTGTAAGAGTAGAGAAATGACGTATTATTTAAATTATTACCTTGGCTTTTTTCTATATTATCTCCCTTTGTTTCCTCTTCTTTAATGGGGGTACTTATTCTGGGGGTCCTGCTTTGCCCCTGGACCATTTCTGCCAGCAATTCTTCTTGAGAAGTTCGAGTTCTGGGAGCAACTGGAAGTGTCTGTTTCTGTGAGACTTTTTAAAAGGAAAAAAGATGGGAAATGCAGATGCAGTAATACATCAAAACTGAGCAGTGAATATGTCCTCTTAAACATAAATGCCTCTTTGAGTTTAGAACATATGAAAAATTTGAAACAGTTCACAGGTAACACCTTTTTTCTTAGATACCTGCTTCATCTATACATTTTAAAGCACATGCCATAATACACTGCCACATATAGGTATTCATTTAAAGCACATGCCATAATACACTGCCACATATAGGTATTCATTTTTAATCAAATGTAGTTTTTTTTTTAAGATTTTATTTATTTATTTGACAGAGAGAGAGCACAAGTAGGCAGAGTGGCAGGCAGAGGGAGAGGGAGAAGCAGGCTCCCCACTGAGCAGAGAGCCCGATGTGGGGCTCGATCCCAGAACCCTGGGATCATGACCTGAGCGGAAGGCAGATGCTTAACGACTGAGCCACCCAGGCACCCTAACCAAATGTAGTTTAAACTTTGCTTCATGATCATGTAACAACTTTATAATTTACATAATACAGGTCGAGAATGAACTTCAATGCTAGTTCTCAAAAATACTTGGGGAATCTCCCACTATTATAAAAACAGGGGTACCTGGGTGGCTGAGCTGGTTAAGCATCTGACTCAATTTTGGCTCAGGTCATGATCCCAGGGTCCTGGGATCGAGCCCCGCATAGGCCTCCTTGCTCAGCGGGGAGCCTGCTTCTCCCTCTCCCCACCACCCCTGCTCATGCTCTCTCTCTCTCAAATAATATCTTAAAAAAACAAACAAACTACTCAATTGTGGAAAGGCAAAGAAATGAAATGTAAATAGATTAGGTCTAGTTTTGGCCTTTGCCTGATAATCCTTATATATGCCAAAACCTGTTTATGTTCAAGGTTAAGTTAGAAAGGAGAAGCAAGAGGACAGATACCTATGAGGTTCAAAAGCTGCTAACATAATTTACTTCCACTTTAGGAAGGGGTCACAAAAAGAGATACAAAAGAGAATGAAAAAGCAGAAAAATGCTAAAAGAACAGTCATCAAATCCATAGCAAGGATAAAATAAAAATTTTTAGAGTGGGCAATCATCAGTTTTTATTAACCGAAAGTTTTACACACTGGCTTCAGCACGTGGGGCAGAGTACAGAATTATAGCAATATGGCATCCATGATTTAGTTTGATTTCAGAACAAGCTTTTTGTAAGGTCAGATTATACGTGACTTATTTGTTTTGTTTTAAAAACATGCAATACCCTTATATTCTCTCGTAAAATAATTTAGTACTTCCACTAGGACTGGGGAAGGAACATCACAAATGAGTCAATTCTCTGCCTTATATTCCTTAATGGGTTCTACTGAAAGCAAAGAAGCCAATCTGCTCATGCATTAGCCAAATTTCTCTAACTCTGACCTCTTAATATCCAACTCTGCTCCCTTTTACAGATCATAAAGTCCTATCAAATGCTGACTCCAATGCCATGAATATGAAAAGTCCCACCTTTATCAAAACTCCCTACAAAAATTTTAATATATATTTCACACACACTAGAAAGAGGGAATAAAAGGCATTACACAGTTGCTCAAAGAACTAAATTACACTGACAGCTGGAAGTTTCTCAAAGTGATCTCCTTTTAAAACCGTTCTTTGAACCTCTTCTTGGTCCTGACATCTGGCAAGTGTCTTTACTATACCACAACTTGGGAAGCAACCAATTCTAGTTTCCTCAAGAGTTAAAGAAAACTCACTTAATGTAAACATAATACATTTAAATTACCTGTAGAATAGTTAGTTGTTTTTGTTACAGATTCTTGAGCTTCAGATATAGCCTTCAAAATTAGATTCTTGTTAGCTTGTTTAGAAGGTGGAAGTGAAGGTCTAAAAAAAGTTAAAAGTATTTTGATTAAATTTTAGATTTGAGTTCTTTACATGCTAGCTATCCATTAAGCCTTTGCTACAGCCTTCTCTTAGGTTTTGTACAGACTAGTTGTAGTTTTTAGGAAATGTCAACTAGATTGGAACCTTTTAACTTTTTAAATAATGAGTCTGGATCACCACCTCCCCCCACCATATTCCAGTTTTTAGTATTCTCTGCAATCTTCTCCAATTTTAACAACTTCTCTTTCATTAATCTGTTTCTCAAAAACCAATAGAAAAGTCTTACATGCTATTAAAATTTTATTTTCAGGATATCCTCCTTCAAGAAACCCAGAAGATTCCATCAGGCAATTAAAGATTAATTTACAGATAATGGTCAAGGTACCTCCTTTCAGGCTTTGCTGGCACTGACACACTGCTGGAGATGCTTCCTGTACGAGACCCACAGTCATCATCTTCCTCCTCCTCTTCTCCATCATGATTGAATTTTTTTACTTTAACAACTGAACTTACCACAGGCAACTTTCTCTTCCGAAAGTTTTCTTCCTGCAATCAGATAAATTTACGCTTACCTAGTCTCAGAGAAAAAACAAAGTTCTACAACAATATTTTTTTTCCCCAAGAAAAAGCCAATCATATTAAGAATTCACAAGCTATTTCCTGGTTTCTTATAAAAATAAGTATTATCCTAATAGCCAATTGTTAGCTAAAACAAAAACTAGTGCTTTACATTCATTTATAAACAGTAGAATACAGCACCGGTGAGGAAACTCATAAAATGGAATTACTTAGTTGTTTCCTAGTAACTGCCGTGGAAAATCTAAAACTGACCTAAAATTCCACCAAAATTATAAGGTAAGGTTACAGTTATCTCAAATGATGGCATCCCAGGAAGGTAAACAAGATGTCAAATATCTGTAGAAGCCAGTTGTGGACAGGAAATTCTGGTTTAGTATGTTGAATAGCATAGAAATCAGTTTAAAGTAAACTTGCAATATGTGTTTAGTTATTTCAGATATAGTCAGTTTTAAGAAATGCCAATTTTCAGGGGCGCCTGGGTGGCTCAGTTGTTAAGCATCTGCCTTCGGCTCAGGTCATGATCCCAGGGTCCTGGGATCGAGTCCCACATCGGGCTCCCTGCTCAGCGGGAAGCCTGCTTCTCCCTCTCCCACTCCCCCTGCTTGTGTTCCTGCTCTCGCTGTCTCTCTCTCTGTCAAATAAATAAATAAAATCTTTAAAAGAAAAGAAATGCCAATTTTCAGCCTAAGAAGCCAGAATTTAAAAGCATATGCAGGGGTGCCCAGCTGGATCAGTTAGTAGAGCATGTGACTCTTGATCTCAGGGTTTTAAGTTCAAGCCCCATGATGGGCATGCAGCCTACTTAAAAAAATAAAAAAATTTTAAAAATTAAAAAAATAATAATAAATATATATATATATATATATATATATATACACACAAACCTCAATACTCATTTTTTCTGAGTTGTTTCTGAAAAAAGGACTGTAAGTCTCTTCCAAGCTGTTAAGCATTTCCGGTTCACACAAACGTCCTGTTTCATATACCCGGCTGTTCTGTATATCAGGTTGCTTGGCAGCATGAATACTGTTTGGCTGCTGCTGAAATTGCAACCTGTTTAAATGAGCACCACTATCTGCATTTCGACTTGCAGGTGGTCGATAAATTTCAATAGAAGGGCGAGAAGAACCATATGCAAGTGTCACTGTAGGTTTTTTCTGAGATAAAGGATTCTCCTGCACAAAATTGAGGTCTTCATCAATGAGATCATCTGGTTCTGGCTTAATATCAATCACATCTTCAGAGGGTGCTGGCTCCCTCAGAGGCTTCACAGTTGACATTAATCGGGTTGCAGCTCCATCATCATAAGTCTGTCTATTTTTAAAAACAACATACACATAAAACTTTAACCAACTAAGAGCAGTATCTTCAAATCTTCAAAGAATACTTAAATTTTAATGAAAAAGTTTAGATACTCCCTTTACGTATTCCATTAAAAACTACTTTAAAATTACTTTCTTTTTTAAAACTTTGATTTACTATATTTGAGGTAAAAGATAATCATACATAGGTCTTATCATTATCTTGTTAAAAAGAAATTGCTCGGGGCGCCTGGGTGGCTCAGTTGGTTAAGCGACTGCCTTCAGCTCAGGTCATGATCCTGGAGTCCCGGGATCAAGTCCCGCATCGGGCTCCCTGCTAAGCAGGGAGTCTGCTTCTCCCTCTCCCGCTCCCCCCTCTTGTGCTCTCTCTCTCTAAAATAAATAAATAAATTAAAAAAAAAAAATTGCTCACAACCACCTCAGTATTTCCAAAAATTTCTGAAAACAAAAATTTAAAGATCTAAAACCTAATGTCAAGGTCACATACACATACCCATCTACCCACAGGAGGTCTACACAGGACTCTTACCTGACAGTAGTGGTTTTTTGCTCCTGTGAACTAGTAGAAACCCTGGAATCTCTTTTTTCAGGTCTACTGCTAGCAACCGCAAGAGGTGGCACTGCAGCTTCATGCCTTCTCTCATCTCCCCGACTGAAACAGCTCTTGTTTGAAGACACGTTATTATCAAAGATGTTAGTATCAGAAGACTTAAGACTGGAAGGGTCTGGAAAAAGAAACACATGGTCCTTTTAAGCTGTTTTTATTAACTCTGAATCTTTCCCTTCTTCATCACCAATTTAAAAGCAATGTGTTCTTCCACAGCATTTTTTAATGGCTGATTGTTAACTCCACACGTAGTTAATATAATAATTAATTCAATTTACTATTACTGAACTCTCAAATAATTTTCCATTATAAAATATTAAAACATCCTCGAGACGCCTGGGTAGCTCAGGCAGCTGAGCAACCGACTAGTGATTTCAGCTCAGGTCGTGATCTCATGGGCGGTGGGACTGAGCCCCATGTCAGGCTCTGTGCTTAGCACAGAGTCTGCTTGAGATCCTCTCTCTCCGTCTGTACTCCCTCCACATTCTTGTGCGTGCGCTTTCTCTCTTTTTCAAATAAATAATCCTTAAAACTAAATAAATAAAATATTAAAACATCCTTGAAGCTAAAAACACTGCACACATTTACAATTATCTCCTTAGGATAAATTGCATAGTTTCCTTTCCCTTGTTTAAATTATCTTTATGTTAAATTTATTGCTCTTGAATTCATAATTCATGAGCTTACTAAGAAAGTTCCAAGAAACTATTATTTTCAAATTTATGGAATTTTTTCCAAAGCAGTATAAACGGCTTTAGAAAGAAAACATTAGGGGCGCCTGGGTGCCTCAGTCGGTTAAGTGTCTGCTTTCGACTCAGGTCATGTTCCCAGGGTCCTGGGATCGAGCCCCACATCGGGCTCCCTGCTCAGCGGGGAGTCTGTTTCTCCCTCTGCCCCTCTCCCTGCTCGTGATCTCTCTCTCTTGCAAATAAATACGATCTTAAAAGAAAATGCTATAGTAAATTCCAAACGTTTGAATGAATCTTACCAGTTGTAACAGAGCGAAGTTTATCTAACACACCATGAAGCCTAAAAGAAAAAAAACAAAAATATTAAAGCTTCCTTCAATCAAGATTTTATTTCAACTATCACTTGAAATTTGATGACATTATAGAATCTACCTTCAGATATAAATACTGATAAATGGTAATTAATGGACAAAAAGTATCAAAGTTAAAGAAATGCCACATTTTTAAAAAAGGCTTATATGAATACTATAGAAGCCAATCAAAAATCATTATTTTTTCATCATTACTTTCAACATCTATCTTCTGTACAAATAAGGGCAAAGATATTACCTGACCACAGTCTTGATCTACAAAGAATGTAATTTTGTTTTATAAGGACTAAAGACTCCGTGTAGCATATGGTAAAAGATAAAATATCAGAAATATGTAATATAGCTTATTACTACAAAGCAGAGTTTAAGTTTATCTATTTATATGGTTTCTGGAACAACTTAATTCTGAGAGGTGAAAAAACCTGAAAAATAGTATCAAAACGTATCACTTCATTACTAATGCTGTAAACAAGCACAGGTTACAACCTTGTTTATAATATAACCTATTTTAGTAGTTATGTGCAAAGCAAATTTGCCTTACAATCCCTTCCAAGAGCCGTACCTCCTGAAAATACCAGAAATATCTCATTATAATGTCTCACCCAGAACCCAGTCACATGTTACTGTCCCCTTGGACACAATTAGTGCAGGGCTCCAAACAATCATAATAGTCCATTTCAGGCTGATGTCAATGAACACTTAACCAGGGAAATAAAGTGCCCAAACAGAGATACCGTAACTTGCATCAGTACATATTAAGGAATTTATGGCAAGATGAGAAAATTGAATAAATTTGATTTTAAATTCAAATTCATTTAGTCCTTTATGTAAGAAATGTGTCCCAGGCATTCCATCAAGTTATCTAAGAAAGGATCTCTAGGTCAATCTTCCATAGTATATTAGTGGGACTCAAACCCAAAAAGTGATACAAAGGTTGAACCAAAAGTCAAGTCATAAAACATGTATATGTATATGAAACAAAACAAATACCTGGGGTGCATATGTATATGAAACAAAACAAATACCTGGGGTGCAGAAGAGTTTAAAAAAAAAAAAAAAAAGGTAATCATGATAACTTCCCCAGTCAAAAGTACCACAGTCTCTCTCTCTCTCTCTTTTTTGGGAAATTCTGGGGACTAAGTGTAATGAGTGGGTTAGGACACCCACTCTGCAGTAGTTGGCTGTACCAAAAAATTTGAGGATCAACCACTGCACTAAATGTCATACAAAACTGTATAATCTAACATAGAGAATTCTGTGGGGAATTTCAAGAAAAGTTCACAAGACCTGCAAAGCATACAGTGGCCCACAGGGGCAAAAACACCTTCAAGATAAACTTTAGTTTAAAGGCAAGAAATTAACCAGTTTCATATCCCTCTTTAATGCCTCCTATTACCTCTCCCAGTCTCTTGCCATTCAAAGTAAGCAGGCCACTCTGCTCACTCAACTTTTGCTCCATTATCAACCTGTGTTGTAATTGGTGGTTCCCAGAGTGAGGGCGCTTATAGGAGTACTTCCTGATCTATTCTCAGTCACATCATTACCCTTCCGCCACCCTCACTCTACCTCAAACCTGCCTTCTTAAATTGAATCTTATGCCTTTAGTCACTATTCTAAACTAAAGACAATATTTGGTTTGAAAAAGAACACTGAAAATTATAACATGAATTTATATTTGAACATAAAATTGTCTTTTTAAAATTCCAAACTTCAGAAAGTTCCAAACTTTTAAAAATGATTTGAAATTCTGTCCAAAAACTTTGCCTCCTAAAGGTTAACTCATTAGAGAAAGCAATTTAGGAAGTCAATCCAGCCCCCAAAATACATGTAAACTGGTTTTGGTTGGGGGAAAGGAATAAGATGCAAACATTTACAAAAGAAACATAACAACTGCAGTTAAGATAGACTAAGGACTTGTTATGGGCCAGGCACAGCTACAAGTACATTACACATATTATTTCATTTAATCCTTACAACAGGCCTATAAAGGGGATTTATTAATCCCATTTTACAAATGGAAAAACCAAGGCAAGAGGCAGATCCAGGATTCAACCTCAGGAGTCTGGCTCCAGAAGCTGCGCTCTCATGGCTCACTACCTCCCTCTCCACAGTGAATCTGACTCTCCTGTCAAGAACCTCTTTTCAGACAGAATACCTACTCTGACTTGTGCCAAACTTTGGTCTAAGGGGTAAAAATTCAGAAACATACCATACGGTGAATCGAATTGTGTTGTTCCCTAGAAACAGGGACAGGTCCTCTGTCATTTGGTCCTGACTTTTCTTGTTGGCCACCATCACCATAATGTAATCAGGAAGTTCTTCATCTAGTTAAAAGGAAAAGTATATAAAAACTTTATGTTTTCCTCAATATTGTCTTCTACTTAAAAGTCAATGTAGTTGAAAATATAGATATAGCTCTAAAAATTAATATCTCAGCTCTACTAGAATTATGTTGGACAAGAAAGTATAGTTTTTCCCCTCTTCATTACATAGGTATTTCAATTACTAGAAGAATGGGAATTAGGAATATCTAACAAATACTTATAAAACTAGATATTGTGAATTACAGTATCAAACTTGAGAGTGTATTCATTGTCTTTTTATCTTTTCAATAATGCTCATCAATTTCAGAGAAGCTTCCAGAAAGCATATGGACATCCCTCAAGAATAGTAATTGAGTTTTGTCTAGTTTTGTGTTTACCTATGTTTCAAAATGATATTCATTTCTCAAGAGAACATCTTTATCCTCAGTAAAGGCAGATTTCTATTATCTCAGGGTAACCAATTTGCACCAAGAGCAAATAAACTAAAACCACCCAAAAATTATCATTTAAAAAATTTATTTAAATAATTTCAACTTCATATGCTCCTAACACAATGATTATGAAGGTGAGGTCTAGGACCAAAAACACCACCACCACAGTAAAAAGATAAGGAAGCAAAGGCATTTATCAAGAACTCTAATGCCCACCAAAAAAATTCCTTCAGATTTAATATCTTAAAGATTCGTATTTCTAAGTAGGCAGAAAGGTTCATTTCAGAAGTACTATCAGACAAAAAAAGAAGTACTATAAGGCATTTGTTTCAAGGAGAATCATCAAAAATCCAGTTCAAGAAAAGCACAAATATACTTAGCCCAATCTACAAATGGAGAGAGAGAAATCTAAATTTTTTACTGCTCTATTGGTATGAATATACAATTTATTCATTTTATGTCACTGGATATTTAGATCTCTTGCAATTTTACTAACAAAAAAAAATGTTGCAAAAAATTTTAGTCTAGGTGGCAACCCTGCCTCTGGAGAGTTAGTGTCACCATACAGTGTTATTACAAAACTGATTATACTCCCTGTGCTGTACTTTTCATCTATTTTATAACTAGATATTTATACCTCTTAATCCCCTTTATCTAGTTCACCCATCCCTCACCTACCTCCCCTCTGGCAACCACCGATTTGTTATGTGTATCTAAGAGTCAGGGTTGGTTTTAGTTTTTTTTATTTTTTACTTAAGTTATCTCTGCACCCAACATGGGGCTTGAACTCACGACACTGAGATCAAGAGTCACATGCTCTACTGACTCAACCAGCCAGGTGCCCATTTTGTTTTTCAGATTCCACATATAAGAAAATCATATGGTTTTGTCTTTCTGTGTGACTTATTTCACTTAGTGTAATACCCTCTAGGTTCATCCATGGTGTTGTAAATGGCAAGTTCCCATTGTTTTTAACGGCTGAATAATATTCCATTATAAACATATACACACGTATATATATCTCTTATCTTCTTTATACAGTCATCTATCAATGGACACTTGGGCTGCTTCCATTTCTTGGCTATTGTAAATAACGCTACAACATAACATAGAGAAACATGTTATCTTTTCGAATCAGTGGTTTTGTTTACTTTGGGTAAATACCCAATAGTGGAATTACTGGATATAATACTTGTATTTTTAATTTTTTTTGAAGATTTTATTTATTTACTTGACAGAGAGACAGAATACAAGTAAGGGGAGCGCCAGGGAGAGGGAGAAGCAGGTTCCTGCTGAGGAGAGAGCCCGACTTGGGGCTCAATCCCAGGACCCTGGGATCATAACCTGAGCTGAAGGCAGATGCTCAACTGACTGAACAACCCAGGCACCCCTATTTTTAATTTTTTTGAGGAACTTCCGTATTGTTATTGTTTTCCATAGTGGCTGCACCAATCTGCATTCCCACCAACGGAATGAGGGTCCCTTTTTCTCTACATTCTTGCCAAGTTCTTGTCTCTTTGATTCCAGCCATTATCACAGGTGTAAAGTGATACATGTGGTTTTGATTTGCATTTCCCTGATGACTAGTGATGTTAGTATCTTTTCATGTGTCCGTTGGCCATCTGTATGTCTTCTTTGGAAAAATGTCTGTTCAGGTCCTCTGTCCATTTTTTAAATGGATTTTTTGGGGGGGGGGTTGTTAAGTTGTGTAAGTTTTTTATATATTTTGGATATGAACCCCTTATCAGATGTATCATTCACAGATATCTTCTCCCATTCAGTAGGCTGCCTTTTTGTTCTTTTGAAGAAATCTGAATTTTTTTTTTTTTTAAAGATTTTATTTATTTATTTGAGAGAGAGAGAATGAGAGAGAGCACATGAGAGGGGGGAGGGTCAGAGGGAGAAGCAGACTCCCTGCCGAGCAGGGAGCCCGATGCGGGACTCGACCCAGGGACTCCAGGATCATGACCTGAGCCAAAGGCAGTCGCTTAACCAACTGAGCCACCCAGGCGCCCAGAAATCTGAATATTTAATGAAATCATGCAATATGATGTGAGGGAATATAAGTAGGAACAAGAAGACAGTCATTTATTTTCTTTGCACAGTATCAAAAGGTTCCCACTGTTTCTGGCAATTACAGCAAGTAAGCCTGGTAGCCTATTTATGCAAAGTGCACCTACCACCTATGGACTACCATTGGTAACCCAGGAAAGGTCAACAAAAAAAGTTAGAATGCTTTGCCAGCCTTCACAGATTTTCTCCCTCACAATGTCAATGATGAAAATGTGCTTTCCTGGGCGCCTGGGTGGCTCAGTGGGTTAAGCGTCTGCCTTCAGCTCAGGTCATGATCCCAGGGTCCTGGGACCGAGTCCCGCATCGGGCTCCCTGCTCAGTGGGGAGCCTGCTTCTCCCTCTCCCTCTGCCTGCTGCTCCTCCTGCTGGTGCACGCCCTCTCTTTCTGTCAAATAAATAAATAAAATCAAGAAAGAAAGAGAGGGGCGCCTGGGTGGCTCAGTCGTTAAGCGTCTGCCTTCGGCTCAGGTCATGATCCCAGGGTCCTGGGATCGAGCCCCGCATCGGGCTCCCCGCTCCGCGGGAAGCCTGCTTCTCCCTCTCCCACTCCCCCTGCTTGTGTTCCCTCTCTCGCTGTCTCGCTCTCTGTCAAATAAATAAATAAAATCTTTAAAAAAAAAAAAAAGAAAGAAAGAAAGAGAAAGAGAAAGAAGAAAAGAAAGAAAGAAAGAAAAGAAGGAAAGAAAGAAAATGTTCTTTCCTGGCACTATTAGCTTGCATTTTCTAACATTCTAGGTGAGATCCGTGGCTGCTCCAGTACAGGGTCAAGGCAGGGAAAGGCGGGAAGGAAGGATAAAAAGGAGCCCCAGGGAACTTCTGGGAGTAATGAATACGTTCATTAGTCTAATTACCATGTGTATTTGTCAAGACTTACCGAATTGTACACTTTAAATACGCCGTTTAATATACCAATGTTAATATACTAATTATATCTCAACCAAGCCATTGGAAAATCATAGTTTCCTCAGTATACAAAACAGAAAATAAGAATCTGTTGAAAAATTAACGTGTTCATGATACATTTCCACAGATTTCAGATTTCTCAAATTTATTTGAAATCTCTAATAGGGAAAAAGTGAGTGTTTTGGAGGTTTATGCAAAGTTCAGGCTTCTAAAATGTGAATGAAATTGTCAAGGATACTAAAAGAATTTTTTTAAATAAAAAATAACATGTGAATGAAGGACTGCTCTGAACCGTAATCGCCTTCCCACTGAAGTGCTCCATTTTAAATAAACACAAATGAGAAGTTATCACTCCTAAGAGTTGTTCGCCACCCCATGCCTTGAAAATAAATACTCAAATATTTGTTAAATACTATTGCTTCCATAACCTTAAAGGTTTCCAGGACTTTCTTACAGAGAGAGGGATTAGAAAGTCATCCTTTTCAGAAGGACAATGATGTATAAACATACAATCAGGTAGCTAACTGTAAACCTAAATTCGTAACGTATACTTTTATTTCAGAGTAACCGTAACCCCTGTTTTTCTACTTAATCAACACTTATTTAAAAAAAAAAAAATCATACTCTCTGCTAGGCCACTGGGACATCACAAATACTAAGTCTCTGCCCTCAAGAAATGTCCAGTAAAGAAACAGACACAAGTTGGGAAGCCATGCTAATGTGTCAATCACTGGAAGAGATTTCAGTGGATTCCAGAGGAGCACAGAGGAGTGACTCCTATGCCTTTGCTGGTATCAAGGACACAGAAGACCTGAGTTCTCTGGTCTTAAATCTGCTACTGACCAGCTCTGCTACTTCCAAGACTCCTTTTTTAGTGCTTTTTCTTTTAAAAAAAAGATTTTATTTATTTGACAGAGAGAGAGAGAGAGCGCGCGCGCGCGCACACACACACAAGGAGGGGGAGCGGCAGGCAGAGAGGGAGAAGCAGGCTTCTCACTGAGCAGGGAGCCGGATCCCAGAACCCTGGAATCATGACCTGGGCCGAAGGCAGATGCTTAACTGACTGAGCCACCCAGGCGCCCCTCCATTTTTTTTAGTTGTAAAAGAAATACTACTACCTGCCATTCCCACTTAGCACTGTGTTCAGGAACAAATGTAACTATATGAAAATATTCTGAAAATCAAACTGTTTTTATTTTTTAAACTATTTATATATTTTTACTATAATTCATTTCATATTGAACATTAAGCTTATAAACCAAGTTTTTAATAGACTCAAAATTCTTGGTTTGAGATTTTTGATAAATGATAGGAATCATCAATAAGACTGAACTTAGACTCAATTAACACGTGTTTGTGCTTTCATGTGCTAGAACTAAGAAAGTTTACGCTAGATGTTTTCTGTAGATTTCTTTTCGAACCAAACAAGTTCCTGACACATAGCTGGTATCCATCAAGTGTTGAAGAAATTAAATAATAAATCAATTCTGGTTCAGCTTCATCTTTACTTCTGAGCTTCAATTCTCTTATCTGTTAAAGGCTTAGAACAATCTTGACAAATAGTTTATAAAAAGTGCCCAGCATGTGGTAAATTAGTAGTTCTTTTTTTTTTTAAGGATTTTATTTATTTATTTAACAGAAAGATAGAGAGCACAAGTAGGCAGAGCAGCAGGCAGAGGGAGAGGGAGAAGCAGGCTCTCTGCCGAGCAGGGAGCCTGACGTGGGGCTCGATCCCACGACCCTGAGATCATGACCCGAGCGGAAGGCAGCGGCTTAACCAACTGAGCCACCCAGGCACCCCAAATTAGTAATTCTCAAACTGTTGGGTCTCAGGTTCGCTTTATGCTTGATGACCCAGGGTGGGTCAGTCAGTTAAGCTTCCAACTCTTAATTTCAGCTCAGGTCATGACTGAGTTAGCCACCTTCTTCATGGAACATTATTTTTACCTCCTAACACTGACAAACCAGACATACACTTGGATATTTGGCAGACATATTCTTGAAAGTGAAAAGAGGAAAAGAACTGATACACTTTGTTACCAACGACAAAAAGAACTTTTATGTGAATTATCTATTAATAATTACCATGCTAGAAAAACTGAGAATTTAAAAATCTTATTTAAAATAACATACTTATCACATGTTAATAAACCCATTTATATGACATAATTAACATTTTTATAAAATATAAATTTTCCAAAAAAATAACATAAAACTAGTTATATTTAAATATCTGGTTTTCAAAAAGACAGCTGGATTCAATTTCCACTTTTGCATTTAACCTGTTATGATATGTTGCTCTAATTGAAGAATATGACGAAAATCTGGCCTCACAAATACACAGTTGGAAAAGAAAGTATAGCTGACCCTTGAACATGGGTTTGAACTGCCTGGGTCCAATTATACCTGGATTTTTTTTGATACATGTATCAAAAACGCATGTTCTCTTCCTTATGATTTTTGTGATATTTTCTTTTCTCTTGCTTACTTTCTGTAAAAATAAAGTATAGAGTACACATAATATACAAACTATGTGTTAACGGACTGGTTATGTTAACAGTAAGACTTCTGATGAACAATAGGCTATTAGTAGGTAAATCTGGAGAGAGTCAAAAGTTATACTCATCTTTTCAACTGTGCCAGGGAGGGGAGTGTCCAGAGCCCTAACCCTAAGTTGTTCCAAGGGTCAACTGTATTTTAAAAGCCTTTTCAGATAATGTGGACATTCTTCTGTGATACTACATCAAAACTCAACAAGTGGTAGTTTCTTAAAGGTAGGCAGCAATATGGAAACTAAAACTCTATCAATCACCTTTTTGTACCTTGTTACATGAAAATCCACTGATCCATCCTCTACTTTTAATGAATCTTTTTCCCTTGTATAATTTTGTAACATCATGCATTGATCATTTGAAAATCTACTGGTTCAGGGTAAATCACTGACATGTTGATACAATTCATTACAAGATACAAAAGAATCATTTGTTAATATCATCAGAACTTCTTTTAAGTACTGGGAAGCTTTCAAGTTCATGATGGCAGAAACAAACTTTTCAAAATTCTATTTTCACCTGAAAGCTCAACTTTTGTCATTGGTAAAAAAGTGTATCAGTTCTTTTCCTCTTTTCACTTTCAAGAATATGTCTGCCAAATATCCAAGTGTATGTCTAGTTTGTCAGTGTTAGGAGATAAAAATAATGTTCCATGAAAACGGTGCCTAACTCAATCACACAAATCCTTTCCCTTTAGACAAACCAACCTGTTTTAATACACAGAAGTACTTCATGAGTAATTCCTATTTTCTCACATCACACATTTAAAAGACGTAGGCAAGGACCAAGATTTAAAAAAAATATTTTTACTGCTTCACTAATTAAGTGAAACTGGCTTTTTAAAAAAATTCCCAGGAGAGGGGTGATAGGATTTCTCACAGAGTTTGTGGTGAGATCTCCAGATTCAGGTACCACCAGTTTAACTCATGCTTTTGCACAATCCAAATGGCAAGTACCCTTTCAGTATTAATGAGATAATAGTTTTGACTTCAGAGACCCTTGGCATCTCTCACACCTTGAGAACCATGTCCTAAATTACTTTTACAGGAGGCACCAGCTTTGGAGCCAAACAGACCCAAATCTCAATCCATAAAGCATTGCTCAAGTAAACACTCAAAGCCTCAGTTTCCTTGCTTGTACAAATAGGAGTATTACCACTTACCTTCCAGTGTTCTCCTGGATATTATCATGACCTAACGCATAGACAATGGTTAAGCACAGTGCCTGATCCAAAGTAAACACTCAAATTATAAATCATAAAAGCATAAAGAAAAAGAGAAAACATTACTGTGGCTGCTAAGAGGAAAAGAGACAGGAAAAAAGAAAGATTTGAAAATAAAACTCACTGAACCGCGGCAGAGCCAACTGCCAGAAAACATTCATATGCAAAATAAGTTCTGAAACAAGAAGATCAAGAGGAAAGCAAAGAGAATAGGAAAAACAGAATCAAATAAACATGGAGAATAAGACAGAGCCTCAACAGAGGAGGCTAAACAATCTTAAAAGCACCATATTAAAAGGCGGTTTTTTTGGGGGGGGGAGCAAGGTTGCATATAGAGCTTTCAAGAAAAGACAATAAGAATAAGAAACCGCAAAGAATCAGATTTGAAAGTGAAAAGGGGTTTCTCCAAAGTCGACAGTACGAAGGGAAAAAAAAATGCATTCACTAAAATTCAATTAGCAGCAAAGTCTAAATTCTATTACGCTGACAACAACAAAAAAACTTACCAACATAAGCTCCTAATTCTTGCAATTTCCCCTTAATGGCACTCTGAGGGAAGAAGAGAAAGACAAACGTTGCGTGTGAGAAAAGGCGGAAAAGCACCCGGCTCCGTAACGCAGAGGCAACTTGGCAGCGGCGCGCACCTCGCGCCCGCTCGGCGCCCAGGTCCCAGGTGGGGGCGGGGAGGCGCCCGGGCCCCTCCCCCGTCCCCGCGGGCCCCTCCAGCCGCCGCCGAGCGCGTCTCTCGCCCGGCGCTCCACGCCTCCTTCCGCTCCCGGCGGCTTTCTCCAGCCGCGGCTCCGCTCGCCCGCCGAGCTCTCTGAGGCCCGTCGGCCCGAGGCGGCCCAGGCCGAGGAGGAGTCGTTCGGCGACCCCGCAGCTCGCCGAGAGCCCCCGGCGGCGAGTAGGCCGCGGCGTCCAGGCCGGGCCCACAGTCCCCGTTACTCCTGACAACCGCGCGCCCGCCCGCTGAGGCCCGGCTTCCCGCCCCCGCCCGACGCGGGCCTTACCCGGATCTTGCGGCTGATCTCGGTGCCGATTTCCATGGCTCCCGGCGGGCGGCGGGCTCAGCACTGCGCGGCGCTTCGCTTACCCAGAGCCCCGCGCCGGCTCCCGGCCCCGCAGCTCCGCCGCCGCAGCCGCCAGCTACCAGCTACCAGCTCCCGGCCGCGCGATCTGCGTGACCCGCCCCCACCGGCCCGGCGCGCCAGGGAGAGCAGAGTCGAGCGCGCCTGCGCCTGCGCCTGCGCGCACCTGGGCCCGCGGAGTCTGTATTCGGGCGGCCTCTGCTGGCGGCTAGGAGAGCAGCGGCCGGAGGATGCCCTCGGTTTTTCTCCGCCGCTCCCGGCACCTGGAGAGTTCTCCCCTTTCCTCGCCCTCACTTACTCATTTTACGCTCTTTGGAAAATAAAGATGAATTAAATGCAGCGGAAAGATCCCTGGCTTTGGTATGATATCTGAGTTAGAATCCAGCTTTCACTGGCTTTTAATGTGATAATGGTTTAGATGATTTAAACCTTTAAGTCCTTAGTTTTCCTACATGTAAAATAGACTGCCTCCTAGCGGTTGCATTATAATTACACTTGGAGGGAACCGACTATCCCGCGCAGGAGAACCAATCAATCACAGTCCTCTTTTTTTCTTTTTTTAAAAGATTTTATTTGGGGCGCCTAGGTGGCTCAGTCGTTAAGCGTCTGCCTTCCGCTCGGTCATGATCCCGGCATCCTGGGATCGAGCCTGGGTCGGGCTCCCTGCACAGCAGGACGCCTACTTCTCCCTCTCCCACTCTCCCTGCTTGTGTTCCTTTTCTCTCTTTTTCTGTCAAATAAATAAAATCTTATAAAATATTTTAAAAATAAAATAAAAGATTTTATATATTTATTTATTTATTTGAGAGAGCGCGGGGGGAGGGGCAGAAAGAGAAGGAGAGAGAGAATCTCAAGCCAACTTCATTGAGCGGGGAGCAGGCGTGGAGCTTGAGTCCACCACCCAGAGATCACCACTTGAGAGGAAATCAAGAGCTGAATGCCCAACCAACTGAGCCACCCAAGCACCCCAATCACAGTCCTTTCTAATGATTCCACAAGTACTGCTTCCCTTGGGTCGGTTTCTGCCTTCCTTCCCCCCTCCCCCACTCGGTGGCCCTTCCCCAAGATTTACAGTCACTCTCCTGCTCCTTCCTTTCTGAAACCCTTCCTTTAGAGAACTCTATTATTCTTAGGATTTCAGCTGTCATCTCTATGCTGAGAATAACCGAATTTTCTGTCAGCCCTGACTTTCCCCCTAAACTCCACTCCCAAATTCCAGATGACTTCAGGCATTTGTATTTCCCCCAAATTCAGCACATCAAAATTTACGTCTTCATTATCTTTCCCGTCCCCCACTCAGATTGGTTTCTATTCCTGATGTCCCTGTTTCTATCAATAACAGCTTAATTCTCCCTGTCCATGATCATAAAATCTAGGAATAAGCAGAGAGAGGTCTCCCTTCTCCCCCATATCCACTAAATCTGGAAGTGGTCCCTATTAGCTATCCATTGCTTAATAACAAATGACCACACACTAAACTTAGCAGCTTAAAACACACACATTTATCATCTCATGGTTTTCATGAGTCAGGAATCTGAGCACAGCTTAACTGAGTCCTCTGGTCAGGCTCTCACAAGGCTGCTATTGGGGTGTCAGTCACAGGCCGTGTTCTCATTTGGAGGCTTGACAGAGGAAAACTCCACTTTTAAGCTCACTGGTGTTGTTAGCAAAATTAATTCCCTTGCAACTTTATGAGGGAGGGCCCCAGCTTTTTCCTAGCTGTTTGTCTTGAGGCCACCCTCAGGCCATAGAGGTTGCCCACAGTTTCCTTGCCATGCGCTTCTTCAACATGGCTACTTACTTAAGTCCACCAAGACAGTCTCTCAGCTCAGGGAAGGCCCAGTTCCTCTTCTTCTCGGGGCTCTCACTCTGTTGGGTAACTTAGGGCCACCCAGGGCCTGACCCCAGAATCAAGTGATTTATGGGCTCATTACATCTGCAAAATCCGCCCCCCCCCCTTTATTTTTGCCATATTCATTAACTAAAAGCAAGTCACAGGTGCTGCCCACTGTCAGGGTGAGGGGATTATACAGGGTGTAAACAGCAGGGGCAGGAATCATGGGGCCACCTAGGGTCTGTTTGCCACATGGCCCTTTATCTTATATAATCATTTTTTTCCTTCTGAATTCCTATAGCATCTATGTGGGAGCTACTAGGATGACACTTAATATACCCTCTGTAATATTAATTGTGTATGTGTCCTCTCTAACAAAATTACAAACTCTTGTAGTTCTCCATTTCTCCAAAATTTCTTTCAGGATGCTGGACATATAGAAAGCACTTATGAAATATTTGTAGGATAAAATAAATGACCTAAATTAACAAAAGCATTCCTCATGGATTAATCCAACCATCCTGCCCTCATCCAACATTGATGAGAAGCAGCAGAGCAAAGTGAGAACAAGGACACCGGAGCCAGACTGTCTGGGTTTGAATCCCAGCCCTGCTACTCCCTCCTAAACCTTAGGCAAGTTGCTTAGCCTTTCTGTGCCTCAGTTTCCTCACCTGTGACATTCATATGATAGCAGTTTCTCCTTCATAGGGTTATGAGGATGAAATAAATTAAAATTTGGGAAGCATTTTTTTTTCTTTTAAGATTTTATTTATTTATTTGAGAGAGAGAGAATGAGAGACAGAGAGCATGAGAGGGAGGAGGGTCAGAGGGAGAAGCAGACTCCCTGCCG